TGGTTTCCCCAAATTCTCTGTTGTTGTCCAAGCCCTTCTCATTCTTGTGGTACATCCCATTTCCCTCTATTGCCACTGCTACCACCCTAGTTCTAGCTACCTTGGTCTTCTCTTTGCCTGATGAAAGACTGGCCTCATCAACAGGTTCCTCTGGTTCCTTCTTGTGCTTTTTTCCCCAGGGCACCATGGTAGTACTTTCCAATTCATCGATATGCTTTACTTTTAAATTACCTAGTAATGAATATATAGATTGACTTTGAACCCCAGTAAAATGAACAATCCTGCAATGGTATCATTTCCAGCCTATATACCTCAGTGGTAGATTCACTGTGAATGATACAGTACATTTGTTACTGAGATGAACTTGGAGGTCACAACCTGTGCCCCAAGCCAGGTCCAGTCACCACTCTTCAATAAGGCAATAAAAGGACCAAATTAAAAGTGGGAAGCAGAAGAGAGGAGATTTATCCACATAAGAAAGATAGACAAGAAGATCCAGCGATGGTAATTCCTGGATTATCCCAACAGTAGTAGCATTGAGGGTTCTTATAGTCACAATCTCCTGTCAATGTTTTGCTGACACCTTCATCTTCTTTGTCCCCCCCCCCCACTTCTCCTTCTCACTCCTGCCCTCTTCTTCTCTTCTATCTACATGGATACTTTTCCTGACTTTAATAAGAAAATCCCATCTTATGGTCTATTTTATGTAAAATAGTATATTTTCTGAAATGAAAATAGGTGTAAGATACTGACAGTCCTTTGACACATCTCCTCTGAATTATCTTTAATGAGTTGGGGCACAGATGCTTTATCCTCACATCCCAATTCACCTGGCACAGTATGTTTCATATGGCATAAGTGTATTTCATGTTAGTAAAGATAATGGCTGAACAAATTAAAGAAACAGTCACATCTATCAACAAAGACAGTGCATTGTAGAACACACAGACTTCCCTGGATGGAACGGCAACCTAAGTCTCATGAAAACTGATTGAAAATTGTGAATAACAGTATGTACTCAGGCAAATGATAACTAGGCTGTAATCTATAGCCCCAGAGAAGCTAGGTAAAAAGGGAGACCCTAAGAGGGACACACATGCGGGAGGATGCTCAGGAAGGGAAAATAGTTAAGATCTTCTGGGTAAACTCGGAGGGGGGTTGTAGGGAGGGGATGGAGGATGGGAACATGAGGGATGGCTGAGTTGAGGGAGGTGTGGAGGGGGAGAGCAATGAAAGAGATATCTTGATAGAGGAGCCATTATGGGGTTAGGGAGAAACCTGGTGTTAGAGAAATCACCAGGAATCCACAAGGATGACCCCAGTATAGTGGAGAATGTGTCTGAACAGGCATCACCCCCCCCCACTTAATCAGATTAGTGACTACCCTAATTGTCATCATAGAACCTGCATCCAGTAAATGATGGAAGCAGATACAATGATTCACAGTTAAGCACTGGGCTGAGCTCTCAGAATTCAGGTGAAGAGATGAAGGAAGGATGATATGAACAAGGGAAGAAACCACAGAAACAGTTGACCTGAGCCAGTGGGAGCTGATAGACTATGGACTTACAGCTGGGGAACCTGCATGTGACTGAACTAGGCCCTTGATCTGTTGTGTGTGTGTGTGGGGGGGGGTGCTGCCAGTAGTATTAGGACTTATCTTGGGTACATGAACTGGCTTTTTATAGCCCATTCCCTATGGTGGGATACCTTGCTCAGCATTGGTCTTGATTCAATTTGTTATGCCAGACTTTGTTGACTCCCCAAGGGAGGCCTTACCCCCTCTGAGGAGTGGTGGGGGTAGGAAGGGGACTGGTGGGGCTAGGAGGAGAAGGGGAGGGAAGGGGGAATTGAGGTTTATATGGATAATGAAAAATAAATTTTTAGAAAAAACAAAATTATGAATAATTTTACAAACTCTTAGGTCCATTGGGAAATTGTTAGTTCATGATCCATAAAAGCATTTTTATTGAGGAGTATAGACATTATTATTTTAGCCTCCAAACAATTCTCCTGGGGGCAAAATGCTTTTTGTAATGATGACAATTAAGAAGAATGATGTGATATCACTCAGCTTTTGTTTGTCAATGAATACGTATTCACTGAGCAGTGGAAGAAATTCAGTCCCTGCCCTCAGGAATTGATCTTAGAGAGCACTTAGAAGTATTAATTTAAAGGGCTACAAAAATAAGAACCTAACTGAAACATTTGAAACTATTTGGAGATTATATAATAGAGAAAGCTTACCTTCTTGGGGGCAAGTAAGAGAGAGTCTAAGGTAGACACACTGTCCAGGAGGAAGGCTTAGGACAAGTGAAGTAAGTTCAACAGAATCTCATGAGTTTTGAGCTGCACTACACACACACACACACACACACACACACACACACACACACACACACACGTTCACATACACATTCATTTACACACACACACACACACACATACACACACACACACACACACCATACATAATTAAGAAACTTATTAACTGTGAAGAGTTCACAGGACCTAGTTGATACCATACTTAACTCCCATGGTGCCTCAGTGCTGTAGACACACCGTAACAACAGTAGGAATTTCTTTCTTCTTTATCCTTACCTACATTTAGCCATAGACTTAGCTCTGGGACTATGGATTGAAGTAATGGATATGTTCTCTATTGAATCCAAGAATTAGTATGATTTCAATCCAAGAAGGAATGCTAACATTCCTATCTACTCCAACAAGCACTTTCTCCTGAACAAAACATGCATGTAGATGTTATCTAATTAATTGAATGGCAGCTTTTACAGTCACTATTTTGGCTAAAGAGGGATATGCAGCTTTAATTGTGTATCTCCTAGACATAAGGTTGATATATCTTCTGTGTTTACCATTCAGTATGTGTGCATCACAAATAAGAGATGTCATCTTTTAAGAGACAATGGGGAAGGGAAAAGTTTGGGAACTTTTATGGAGGTAACACAAGTAGATTAAACAAAACCCCATCTTATTTAGGTCTTTGAACTATAAACAGGTTACTTAGGTATCATATACAAGTTGGGCTGCTGAAGACATACCTTGCTCACCTCATAATCTGACAGACTTCTTCTCCCTACCCAACACCTTGACTACAGAAGAAACAGTAGAGAAGGAGATTAGATATTAGCTAAAACAACATGTTCTTCAGTCAAGGGTTTTTGGAATGTATGCTTCTATTCCGAAAAACTTCAATAAGCCATTCCAAGAGATTCTTCACCACATTTTAACTCATGTAGTCCCCAGCTGACCTGACCATTACATCCAGAAGCCCGGGGATCATTTTAGGATCATTTCTTCTTTCCCTCACTTGATTTTATGTTTAATCTAAATAAGTAAGCCTTGAAATCTATATCAAGTTTCTCTTCCCAGGTGTCAATATTAATTTTTCACATAGAATATTTAACTACTATCCAAGATGGTTATCTGATCTGGTTTTGGGTAAGTCTCTCACCATGACAGTGTTTTGATGCCCTGTCTGGATTGCAAGTCAACTCTGATTTCTATCCAGTTGTGTTCCACATCTTAGCTTAAGTTAATGGTCCTGTGACTCTGTCTTCACCACCCTCACCTTCTGTGGACTTCTTTTGACTACAGTTCCAATGGTGACCTATGTTCTTTGTCAGAGTGTACTAATTGGTGCCTGTCATTTCCTTGTTGTAGATAATGCCTGTAGCATAGATCCTACCCATTCATCTTTCAAGGACAATCCCAGGTGGTATCTCAAGATGAAGTGTTCACCTGACTCCTCCAAGTTGGGTTGACTCCTTGGCTCCCATGGATTCCTGGGGCATGCCTCAGCTGGTTTCCTCTGAAGCTGCATTGACAAGAAACACCAACCACTCTTGACAAGAAACACCAACCACTCTTGACAATGTGGTGAATGTGTCCAAACCTGATCTTTGCAGTTCTGCATCCCTAACATTGTTCTGCAACCAACTGGAGTGTATATTTATAAAATAAGACCAAGAAAAATGCAGCTAAAGATATTCAACAGAAGTAAATTAAAGGTTGAACAATGGCTATTTATAATAAACATTTAAGAACCTTTTACAAATACAGATGGCATAATTCACTCCAGCCCTTTCAAGTTAGCAGCCTGGGGTTGGAGGGGTGTTTTGAGTGCTCTGAGACTTTCAACTTCTTAAGTTATGTGTGTGGCTGAGGCTAGGAACCAATGTCTCTGTTGTCAATAGACAAGAATTTACTGGTATGTCAGAGATAGATGAACCATTGATGTTTATGGCACCTCTGTTCATGAAATTCAGTATGATTACTGTCACTATGCTCATTCTCCCCCTCCCCCGCATTATAAAGGTCCCTTCACTTTATATGCATATAACTTGGTCTAACAGCCAGGCACTACACTGTTTGTGGCCCTGTAGCTTCATGAACATGAAATAGCATCCATCAGACATGCACACATACTGTGAGAACATTTGCAAACTAAGGGTGCTTGTTGGATTTTTATGAATATACACTATATTAGGAAAGGAGATCTCTTCTGCAAATGTTTCATTTGTAACATTTGTGACATTTGTAACATTCTTTGTCTATGTTGATCACAGCAATGAGCAATAAAAATAAACAATGAAATGTGTGTGTGTGCGCACATGTGCATGTGTGTGCCATATGTATGTGTGTGTGTGTGTTTTAGATGCTTATATAATTTCATATAAATCCTATATGGAATAGGAAATGTCAGTTTGGAATTACAATTATCACAGTTATTAGTGTCTGTGAGAGGAATAAGGAACTAAAGTTTTAGCCAGGTATAGTCACTCATGCCTATAAGCAGGAGAATCATAGATTTCTACACTGAGACCCTTTTCAAATGGTGAAAGTAAAAAGCAAGTAAGCAAGCAAACAAACAAAAACAGTAAAGTCAGAAGGGAGCCTTTGTAAATGACTGACCTAACCAAATGTCAGGAGCAAAGTGCCCTAGAGACTTCAAAATTAATATTCAAACTCTCAATCTGTTTGTTTAAAAAAGTTTAATGAGCTACAAAATAAATAACACTTAAATATTAAATAAATTATTTACAGCATGAAAAAATACTTTATCTCCACAGATCTGGTTATGTACAGAAATAAGACTATCATGAAAAGTGACAACTGAGAGGCTGGAACCATCAGAAGGCTCCACTTCCTTCATCAAGAAGAGGACCGATGTGGCATTTTGCTTCTGACTTGGCAGTGGTAAGACTGTTAACCTGTGAGGAAAGAGAAGTATCAGAAATAAGCTCTAGTCTTATATGGCTTTAAAAAACTTTATAAGAATCAGAATTTGTCAGTTTCTTTTTTCTGGGATGTCCTAGGAGACATGCTAGATCTTCTCACAGAAAACTGCCACTTTGACTTAACTTTGCCCTTCATTTCCTAAATTCTATGTCCATGTGGGAAACTACAAATTCTCATGCCATTTAAAACCTTGCTTAATAAAAGAGGCAACTGTAGTCAAGAAAAACAGTTTTCCTAACCAAATATACCCTGTTAGACATAATTAAAAACTAAGATTAAGTGTCTCAGTATTTATGATATACAGTTAATTTAGGATAATTAGTACCAGGGGTATAATAATAGTAGCTACCAGTTAATAGGCAGCCACCACATGCTAACACAGCATATTAATATCCCATTCCACCCTCATGTATGCATCCAGTCTCAGCTTAAGCACACATGTGAAATATTTAAAGATACAAAGACTACTAAGTATAACATTGTCATCAACAGTTACCCGTTTCATGAGTTATAATCATCTGGGATGTATTAAAATTAGAACTTATGATTCAGTAGACTTAAGGTGTATATAGGAATATCCTACTTAACAGTCAACTTAAGTGACAACTCTAATGAAGGCCAAAAAATGAGGGTTAGGGACACAACTTCATCTTTCCTAAATGTCTGAGGATGTGAATTTTTTTTGCCTCCCTATTCCTCTGTCATCTTCATTAACTCTTTACTGTGTACTTTCTACCTAAAACTTACTTAGCTCTCTATTTAAAAATTAAATCATAGGCTTTTAGCAAAGCACTCTCAAATGTGTGCCCCTTCCTTTAAAGCAACATTCCAGTTGTCTCAAAGCTAACCTTGGCCCTCTACTGTGTGAGCCTACCTTGTCATTACTCCCCTGTCTCACCCAACAGTCATCCTAATGAGGACATTTCTATCTTCCTAAAATGACCTGTTAACCTCTCAGTGTTGACAATCTTGCTTCATAATTGTTTTCCTGACTCACTACGTTCTTTCCTGGCTCTTAAGTGTGTTCCAGTGATTCTCCCAGTTTTGGAATGTTTCCCTGGTTCATCGGTTCCTTTCGTATGACATCTATTTTACATTCCTCAATGTTTGGATTCCTCATAGTTTTCCTCCACCTACAAAGCATTATGTTCTCTGAGAAAGGACCAGAGTTCCCCATGTCTATATTCCATTGAATAATGAGTAAACACTTAGTCCTTTCACAAGACTGAAATCAAAATGACTCAAAGAATAACATTTTCCTAAAACAGCTCTTCACACACATTCATAATTAAAAATAGATTCCTCTTTTGCCTTGAGACAAGTGTTGCCATTTTTTTTTTCAAAATTATAGCATCTAAATGGCAGATGAATTTTAAAGGCCAAACCTGAATTGTCGTCAGCTAGGCTATGACGGGCACATTTCCAGTTTCTTGTCGAAGCTTCTTTCGTTCCTCTGCTTCTCCTTCATATTCCTTGAAATATCGTTTTCGAAGCCTTTGGAGAACACAGAACCCCACTATTAGCAAGTCCTACCTACTTGTGCAATGGGGACTTTCATGACAATGGTGAATTTCTTCCTGTGACCTCTTATAGACAAGCACCATATGTTGGTTTGTTGCACTAAACCAAAACCTAAGCACAACTGCCATGTCTGGCCAATATTCTTTTTTGGGTGGTGGTGTGGGGGACATTCATGCTGCCACTATATAAACACATTTCTCGAACAGTGAAATTTAAATGTATAGTCACAATGAAAACTTTCATATTATGTGGAGCATATCCATGTCTTTTGCTGTTATTCCTAAAGAATTAAGCATTGGGGTGATGGAGTACAAGAGAAAGACTACATGTACAAGAAGCCAGGACAGGATGATCACAAATTCAAGAAAAGCTTGGGAAATATGGACCCTTTTTCAAAAAGTAGAAACTGCTAGATATGTAGCTCAGCTTGGCCAGCATGTGAGAGGTTCTAAGTTCTATCCCCAGCACTGCCACAAAGAAAGTAGAGAGCAGCCATAAAGCAATAGTCATTCCTTAAGTCTTCTAGAGGATTATTGAGCATTGAAAGATGAATAACTACAAGTTCAATTATTGTGAAACATCTTTAGCTCACATTTTGTTTTCTATTTTCCTATGACAAATAATAGTGGTTCACAGGGGTTCTCTTTTCTTTCCTAAATGCATTTGCATACCTGGCTTGAGGCACTAGAAGAAATTTCAGGTGTGCAAAAACAAATTTAACCTGCACATCAAACTCCATGTGCATAATAAAATAGCTTTTACCTGTCATTTTATCCCTATCTGATTTGAATTTAAGATAACAATAAACAATGGCAAAAGATAAGTCCTGTATCCTGAAGAACAGCAGTGATGGAGCACGTACACAATCCAGTTGTTAAGGTAATTTACCAAGACCTAAAATTAGAATAATGAATCCACTGCTTTTCCCAAGCTCTAGCAGCAGTGAGTCATTCTAGAGTCATGCAGATCCTCCTCCAGCTTCCCCTATGCCATGGCTTCTGTCTGAGAGACAATACCATGCTGATGTACCCATCAGAACAGTCTAGCATGGGCATTCTTTGGTCCTGAAGCGAGGCGTGTTGCCCAGGGAAGATGCTGTGGGAGGACCATAGTAACAAAGTTTGTCCTTGCTGCCTACACCATGCCATCAGGAGGAAATGTTTCTCTTTGTTTCTTAATATGTTCCCACACTATAATACCCAATAAGGACAGAAATAGGCCTATACTATAAACCAATCAGCACCATGCCAGCATACAAGCTCAGAGCTTTGCACTGTATTGTGAGAAGAGACATAGCTTTTATGGCTGCAGATCTTAAGCCCTTCTAGATTTTAGTTTTAATGCTGAAGAAGTATGTTTGGGACTATGAACTCAATATGACCCTAATTAGTTTATGCTTGAGTGGAAAATATTCAAAGACAATACTTTCTGAGATTCAGAAATAACCATAATTAAAAATATAATATGTAATAAAATATCAATTTTAAGCTAAAAATATTCTACCTCTGAAAGATGGCTTTATATGCCATTTCAATGGTAGCAAATAATGCAGATTTTGATTATATTCAGCTCATGGGTCACATGATACAAAATAACTCATGTAAAATATAACAGCAGAGCCTGGTAGAAATACTGATAAGAGTTAATTCTTAAGTTGTGATGTACTTACTGGACTGTGACAAGAATGCCAACAGCTATGAGGATTACAGCAGAGACAAAGACAGTAATGGCTGCGATCTTGGATAGGTCATTGTCATCCCCGCTGTGAGTCTTCATGGATTTTTCTCCACACCGTTCACCAAAGTAGTCAGGATGACACCTGTAACATCACATTTCATAATTATAAATGTTGAAAAGGTTCTGTATGCTTCAAGTCTACTACTTAATGGTAGTCACTTAATTTAACTTAGAAAGGCCATGCCATCATGTATACTAAAAAATCATGAGACATGGAATGCATTCTACCTTAGGATCTTTAAGAACAAGCGTGATGAGTTTGGATGTGAGTGTGATATTCCAAGAAGACATAGTGTGTCACTCCTTGTGTTTCTTTAGGACCAAAAGATGACTTCGGTGCCTGGTTTTTCAGTTAATACAGTCAACTCTTATTTCATTTAGTGCTAGGGGCTTGTGAGGTTTGGGGGATGTCAGAACCACATGAAAGAAAAGTTATTTGATAAATATTTTAAGGCTTTTTAAAATTTTTTTTGCAAAAGGCTTAAAATATATCTATATTATATAATAAAATGATGGTTTATATCAGTAGAAAACTACAGTCCCTTTGCCCTATTTTTACAGCCTGCAATTTAAGATTTTTTTTCTCTATTTTTAAGTGTTTAGATTTTAATTGAGTGTACAGACCTATTATTGGTCCACAAAGCCTACATATTATCGACCGTATCTTTTATGAAGTTTCCAGGCCTTGGTTTACACACTGGAAAAGTCAAAGGTCTGTGGAGGTTTCAGGCATGATGTAGGATGGGGAATTTTATGTGGTTCTAAACCTACTTGCATGTGACCGCCTCCAAGTTCTCGATGTATTTGCATTCACCATGAATACAGAAGTTCTGGAACTCCGTATCACATGGGTTCTTTTTCTTCTTTTTGTTTCTTCTACCTTTCCCACTTTTGCCTCCCTTTTTCTTCCTTTTAGGTTTGTCTGAAGTCTTGTCCCCTTCCGTCTTGTTTTTCTTGGGTTTGATTACCTGTTCAACTAGAGAAAAGGAAAGTTTGACAAGTTAAGATCAGATTTACTGTCAACATCTTCTTTTCATCTGAAGAATCACGTGAGATACATGAGACTGAGAAATCACAGCACTGGGAACAACTTTTGCCTCATTCTTTAACACGACATGCACACTTAATAAACCTCCAGAGACTATCTGTGTCAGATGGTATTTTATGTGTGCCACAAGCTACTTTTGCTATTTTGCCTAAAAATGCACACAACTGCACTGTACCTCTCATGATATAGAGGTAAATAGTTCAGTGAAAACAAAAGACATCTGTAGGAAAAGCAGCTGGAAAGCACAGTGGCTGACACGCTTAAGACTTTTTGTTTGTTTTCATTGTACCAAACAATGTCTCTTGACTAAAAGTGGTGTGAGACAAATCTGCTGGTTTTACTTCTCCATAATTGTCTTTGGCTCACTGTCTTAAGCCAGAAATTATTGGTCACTACTCAAGGGTGGAGAAAACTGGAAAATATGTATTATTGAAAACAACAAAACACCTTCAGGGGGCTCTTTGTTTCATTCAATCTTTTTAAAATAACACTGAAATATTGTGCCCTTTCTTCAGAATGCCACCTCAACTCTTAAGATTTAGAGTCCTCAGGACTATGAAAGGTATAGTTAATTACATGGTAAAGACAGGGAGAGAAAGGCTTGAGTTGTTTAATGTTATACATTTTTGTTGTGCCAATCCTTCAATAGGTGTGTATTTGCTAAGACTACATACTTAGCAAAAAGAGACCACCAAGAAGAGAAGGCCCCAGTGGTCCCAAAGGCAGTTCACAGAACACAACAGAACAAAACAGACACAACAGAAATATTAGTAGAAGGGTAACAAGGGGTGTCGAAGACAACATCTCTGTCTTAAGAAAATGATTGTAGGAGTTTTTGTTTGTTTGTTTTTAGCAGCTTGCTTTGAGTGCATTAATAAAAGCTAAAATTTAACTAGGTGCCCTTGCAGCATTTATTAAAAAAAAATTTCTTCTGGTTATTAAGAAGTGTAAGTTAGAAAAAGCCCTCTAGGAGAACTGTCTGAAATGAATATCACTATACTTCATCAGGTAGATTAGAAGTCCAAGCCAAATAATAGTCACTGTGCTGGAGTGTCGCAACACACAGGACACCCATGGGCATTTAAGCAAATAGCCTTTCAAATGAGCTCAACCAACAGTCTCAGCTTTATACACTGAGCTGCAATTCGAAGCAATGACCACTTGCTCCACTAGGGATTGATTTTGCCCTCTGAAAGTGGGCATGCGATGGTCTAATCTAATTCCCTTTCCTATGACATATATTTTAAACAACAACAACAAACAAAACAATTAGAAGCAAGGCACCGAAGTAGAATGATCACTGAGGTTTATCCTTCCTGTCACTTGCCCCCATCTCTGTCCCTGTGTTAGGACATCCCACTCACTCTTCTTCAGCTCTGGGAGACTCCATAGGAGGGACAGGAGGAGGTGGAGGAGGGGAGGGGAGTAAGAGTTAGAATCTGCTAGCAAAATCTAAAAAAAAAAAAAAAAAAACCTTAAAGAACTCTGGAATCACCTTGTCCTGCCTCTATGGCAAACAATTCTAGATCTGACTTATCAATGGTCATTCTTCCCCCAAAATACAAAGTTAAATGGAGGTCATGAGCTTTTATCTCTCTCTCTCTCATTTAAAAGAAAAGGCATTTTCTTAAAGATCTGTTTGATAAGAGCAAAAGAGGGGAAAAAAAAACCCAGATCACTAGTTTGGATAAAAATAAAATCTACACTTACTTGTGTTTCTTTAACATTTCTAGAGATCAGTCTTTTTTTTCTGTTTATTTATGTTAAAATGCTTGCTATTAGAACACAGTAGTATGGGGGAGGGGATACAAATGTCGAGTTACAAGGCCCACAGGAATGGTTAATGACTACCTATGCTCTCAGAATGGAGGTCATGTGGCACACTTGGAAAAGAACCTAGTCACTGGAATCAAGCAGACTGAGGTTCTAATTCTGACTCAACTTGCTCCCTGGGCTGCACAGCCTTTCTGAGCTTCAGTGACTGTAAAATGAAAGTAATAATTTCTATTTCCCAGAATTGCAAAGACGTTGATCAAGACCTATAGGATGCAATCTCCAATACCTCTGTAAAGGATATGCAATAGCCACACCTATAAAGCCATCAGAAAACTGAAAAGCCATGTTTCTTCTGAAGCCACATTGCTAAGATCAAACCACATCTCATAGACAACATTTTCCCAGTCTCCTGTACTCACCTCTGACTGAATCATCTATAACATATCCGGATATTTGTGGTTCATTATCATATTCCTCTGAGTAGTCATAGTCCCCTGTGGAGAGTTCACTGCCAGAGGGCATTTCACTTATGGCAGAGACCTCACTTGCCACAGAAACCACAAGTCCAGTGGCATTGTGGTCCCCAGAAAATGCTTCACTTTTCTCTGAGGTGTCATTGATGGCCAACCCAGCTGCATGATGGCCTGCAGGGAGAGAAGAGGAAGCCTTGAGTCTAGGTGCTTTTGTCTCACTGTTTGAGCAGTGCTGGGAGACTTGTCTCCTATCAAAGCAGCTATCACTCATGCACTATTATTTTTTTGTTGTTGTTGTTTTGATTTTTTTTTCTGAGTCACTCATGAAAGCAACTTCACAGTCTGCCAAGAAGCAAACTCAGCAGCTTAATTATGGAGATTCTCTTATCTGGATTGATTTTCCTTTCCACGGATAGCCTACAACAATTTCCACAATTTAAAAAAAAATCCTGCCAAGTCAGTCCAGTAGAATCACGTAACAAGCAATATCTAACAGCCTCTTGGTGCAGGTCTGACTTGCATGCCTTGTGCCCATGCTTGCCTGCCTCCTGTTAACGGATGCTGGATGTGGAGATACATTTTAACACCTGTTTATCCCTGTTGAATCTGTACATAAAATGAAAAAAGTAGTACAATGGTGGCTAAAAGCAAGGATTTTCACTATCTTTATCCAGTATTTTATTATGATTACTATTATCAAAGAGAACAAGTTGAGAGCACCTGGTAACTATTGGGAAGCCCTGAGTTCCAGTCCTTGCTTTTTCTTTTCTTTTATGGTTTTTATTTATGTATTTATTTTATTATTATCTTTTTTAACCTCAAAGCGGCACTGGCAGTGGCGCTTTCAACCTCTCTCTAGTGCACTTTGAGTTAGCTTTAGGAGGGTAAAAATAAAATCTGTAGACACAAGAGATGGGGGACAGAAGGCAATGAACCCTCCTCAAATCCTCCTGGATTAACTACCCTTGCAGGAATTACTTCACCTGTCTGGACTCGGTTTCCTCAGGTGTTAAAGGAAAGGCTGGGCTAAGATAACCTCTTAGGTCTCCATCAGCTGGATTTTAGTGTAGATACTCTCTTGGCAGCCTGGTCCTTGGGGAACGCTAGAGACTCCTGTCTGCTTCTCTCAACCTCATATCAAGAGCAACTTCAGCGGAGCGAATTACAGGCATCCTCTCCCTGGCCGGACAAATTTCGGGGCGTCAAAAGACAGCAGCACAAGGGGCTACAACCCAGGCTGCTGCTGGAGGAGTTGGGTGCTCACCTGAGCCTAAAATCAGCAGCAGCGACAGCACCGGGAGCGCCCGCGGCAGCAGCGGAGTTCTCATTGGTCCCGCGAGCCGACAGCGTCGGGGTCTCTGCGGCGACACGAAGGCGGGGGCTCCGGGTGGCGGGAGCCTTGGGACCATGGAGCAGCGGGCGAGCACCGGTGCGGGGTTGCCCATCCCGCCGGGCTCTGGGCGGCGGGAGCGGCCAGCGCCTTGGGGTCGGCTCGGGATGTCCGGGCTGTGGCCGCGTGTCAGGAAGGAGAGACCAAGCGACTGAGGGTGAGGTGCAGTGAGCACCTGCTGCTTTATAGGCCCCGCGGGAGCCACCGCCCGTGACGTCACGGGCCGGCTGTGGGTGGAGGAGGCAGGAGGTTACTACCCCTGAACCAGGCAGGCAGACAGCAACAGGGAGGAAGTGGGGATCGAGCTCTGTGGATGCTGGGATAAACTTTCCCACTCGTGTTCTAAACTGGAGTGGTGCCAAGAAGCTGGCAGCTCAGAGTCCCAGTGCCACAGGGTCTGAAAACCCTCTGCATATATATTCGTTGATGTTAGATGGATAACAAGCAGGGGAGATTAAATAACAAAGTCTCAGGTTAGGACACAGCTTTAAAAGCAGCTGTGGTTTAGCAAGGTTAGCCTGAAGTCTTAGAGGAAGATAAAGGAAGTTAGTTAAGTAAATGAGAAGGCATAACGCCCTGCAAGAGCTGGAGCCTGATGGGTTTGTGTGGTAGCCTAGGGCCCTTTCCCACCTGGGCTCTTAAAGACTCCAAATGGCTTGAAATGTCCATCAAACACCCTCTCCAGGGCCTAGGGACCTTTCCCACCTGGACTCTAATTTTAGGACTCCAAAATGGCCCAGGGATCAATCAGACACTCTCCCAGGGCCTTTCAAAGCAGTACTTGTTGGCTTTTTACTGGTGTCAAATTAGGTGTAGCCAGACATTGGCACTTAGGAGGTTGAAACGGAGGGTTGTAGGGAGAAGTCAAGCTGGGATACAGGATGTAATCAAAACCCAAGCAAAATTGCTTACCTCCAGGGTCTCACTAATATCTTGCTGGGGTCCTATACTCCCCAGTTTTACTGACATATAAAAGGCCATGTAGCTTTTTTCCCCGTTTAATTTAGCTCTGAAATCTGCCTCTTGCCATGCTGGTAGAGATGGAGCTAAAGGAAGTTTCACATTTAATGGAAGGAGAAAGGAGGCATGCATGGTGACTTAGGTGGGTGGGCCCTCTCCTTTCAGTTCAATGGATCCAATGAAGCCCCATTTCTAGCCACAGAGGGGGTCCTAATGATGGAAGGTCTGTGTCTCCAACATCCATACTACACACCCGCTTGGGCTTAGAGCAGGCTTGAGGCCTATTTGGGCTAGCAGAAAAGACTAACTCCAAAGAGAAACGAAATGAAACACCGGAAAACACCCACAGAAAATCCAGGAGGTTATTTAACTAGGATAAAAAAGAAGGGAGCGGCAGTGGCTTCATTGATTAACTTCCATGTTCTAGCAACCCAGAACTGAATTTTTCTTGACTTACTGACAACAAGGTGTATTCTCCAAACAGTGTCTCTGACCTGGAAATACACATGGATCTTCCTGTGTGTGCCTCAAACTGCCTTTTCAGTAATGTCAGTCGCTATACATTTTTTTCTAATTCTGAGAAATGTTTTAAACTCCTTTTATTTTTAAACACAATTACCACAGGGAGTAGGTTAAACAGGCCTTATGGTATAAAACACCCCAAAATCCTGAACTGTGTCTTCCCTTCTACTCAGTGTTTGGTGAAGATGTATTTTGTGTAAATCCCGTTTTACTTTGGGGTGGGGTGGGGAGTGTCGCCAGCCAAGGTGGAGATTGAATTCCTTGTTTGTTAGGTGTAGAGTGATGTGGGCCACATACATGATTAAGTGATTCTGCGAAAGCAGATAAGATGGATTGGTTCAGAGTGCCCTGGGAAAAGAGGCTGTAGTTTAATTTGGCCTGTAGGTATCACAGACAGTTGGGGTGGGGGGGGGGGAGAGATGGGAAGAGCCCAGGGAGACCTTCTGAGCAGGAAGTTTGGATGGAAAGATACAATTTAGGGTGGGCAAGCACAGGGATAAAAGTGAAGATGTCTCTGCCCATTCTGGTGTGGAATTCAGCCTGTTCTTTCATCCTTTTTGGCCATGAGGTGACTGTGTAACTCAGAAGGCCTTAATCTTCCCCACAGAGCTCAGGCTACACACATTCTTAGTCTCATGGGTTTCATTTTTTGTTGTTGTTCCGTTTGTTTTCTTAAATGTCTTTGAATTTCAATTAGCCAGAAAATACCACTTCATTTGCAGTGCACAGCAATACTTGATTATGCTTACAAGGCAACTAAGTTAAGCAGATTAACACAGTTTTAGTTTCTATTTTCTTAACCATCCTGTTTCTTAAATAATGTATTACTGTTTTATGTGAATTGGTGTTTTGTCTAAAATGTATATGGTGCCGAGTACTTGGTGCCTGCAGAGGCTGCATCCCCTGGAAATGGGGGTACAGACAGTTGTGAGTTGTCATGTGGGTTCTAGGAATTAAATGTGTGTCCTCTGCAAGAACTGCCAGTGTTCTAACCACTGAGAATCTCTGCCGCCACTGACTTGTTCTTAAGATCCATACAAATTTTGGATACCTGCCATCAGAACCAGTTTTCTTTCTTTTTGAAGTAAAAGTTGGCTGTTTACATGAAAATTTCTTGGTCATTTTCTGATGGGAAATTTGGGAAGGAATCATTTACATTTTTTTCCCTGCCACATAACCTAGTCATGAGGCAGAATAGTTCTTGGAATAAATCTAGGTTCTCATACATAAATTCTACTACGTGCTAAGTTAGTATTTAAGACCCAAATTCCTCCTCTGAAAACAATAATAAAACACCTAGTTTTTGTTAAATAAATACATAACAGAAGATACACAAGCTATAGCATGAAACCTGGAGTGCTGTGAGCATTCAGTACAGGGTGTCCTTGATGCTGTGACAGTTACTGAAGCAGTAAACTGAAGACCAGAGCGGCTCACAGGGCATAAAAAATAATCACCTTCAGGACTTTCAATCTGTGAACTTGGCACTATTTTCCATGAAGACGTTTGAGGCAGTTTATGATACGTCTGAGAATATCCTTGGTGTCATACCAGCATCACAGAGTAGCATACACTGCTGTGTCATACATTCTGGAACATATGCATGAATAGGAAACAATCCTATATAAATGTAGGACTCTACATTCAGCAAGGTAGGCCAAGAACATCAGGACTGATGTCAACAAATTCAAGTGAAACAGTACTTGTCTATATCCTGATACAATCAAATTTCTTTTTAAGTTGTGTGAGGTTAAGGACAGTCCTGGGGGCAGATGCTCCTAACCAATCACTCCCATTAGTGTCTACTATCTGAATCCCATCATAGATGGATAGAAAAAAAAATTCATTTTGATTCTGCTAGAAGATGCCCTATAAAACCAAAAGTATCACGTGTTTGACAATAAAGTTGACTTTATATATATATATATATATGTATATATATGTATAAATAATTTATATAGATAGGGCTGAATAGTATCTTTATGAGTCAACACATGAACTAACCATAGTTCTCCATTGTAAACAACATTTCATACAGTATAATACATTCCTTAGCCACATTAGATAGGCTTTAATTTCCTACTTCTTACCTTGATATTTATCCAGACCAAAGAATATATCATTTCTATTTCCTTTAAAAATAGTAAAAATCTCAACCTGCTCTTTGTAGTTGAGCATCTAAACGTAAGTATGGGATGAGTGAAGCAGGTAATTTGATAAAATAGAAACAACAATGACAACAAAAAATGAAATATACAAATAGCCATCAGTTCCAAATTCTGGCCAGACAAAAGCCAGCTATCATCCTGTATCTGTGAGGCCAGTACCCTGGACCAAAGAAGACATTTCCCTTATCACTGGCAAAGGGGACAAATGGCTATCTGTGATGGCTATTAGCTTACCAAAGTGCATGCTGGCCTCCTGGCTCCCTCAGTATCACAAGTACCTGTTATACTTTTCAAAGTCCATGCTGGCATCCTGGCTCCTCTGAGCCCTTCTTACTCCACCCCTTCAGTTTAGAGGTCCCCTACCCCCAGCTTCTTATACTTCTTATAACCCTGCTATTTCAGTATTTCGGCTCTGCTCCCTCCCTCCCTCCCTCCCTCCCTCCCTCTCTCTCTCTCTCTCTCTCTCTCTCTCTCTCTGTCTGTCTCACTTCCTCTCTCTCATATCCTCTCTCAGTCTTCTCTCTTGCCCTCTCTTTGTCTTCTTTGCCTGCAATCTCTCTTTTTCTTTTGCTCTCACTCTTTCCCGCCTCTATCTCATGGCCTGGATCAGTCTACTGGCCATGTTCAGTCTATTACTTTCTCTCTCTGCTCTGCTCTGGAATCTTCCAGATGCTTCTGGCTGTACTCTCTCTCATATCTGCAATAAGAACCTTCCCCTCAACCATATGTTGGAATGGTCATGTTGTCAGTTTTTACCATGCCCATATTAACATAAAAGTGAATTTTATATTTAAGTTGTTTACTTGAATATATTTTGAGAATGTAGCAGTAGTCTGGGCATAGAGGGCAGAACTTCAAGTAATTATACTGTCCTCATCTTTAAGGAAATCTTGTTAATGGGAAATAGTTAAGCTATATAGAAACAGTGTATAAAAGTAAATTTGAGTAATGAGAAATGCTCTATGTGATATAGAAGAATTAGAATGGGACAATGACCCTACTGCATTGTAAGCATGGATGCTTACAGGTATGGGCATGAATCGTGAAGGACTTTAAAACAGTAGATGGTTTCAGGACCCTGAACTTAGACATCTATTTCAATAACCATTTTATTTCTGTTCATTCTTTCTAAGCATCACTTAGCAAGTCTATTGTTAGCTCTGAATAGAAGGAAGTGAGCTGTTGGACTCACTGAGAGTTCTTCAAAATGTACACTCCATTCTCCCCTCTTGATGCAGTAGATTTAGGTACTGTCCAAGTCTATGTACTTTTCTTTTTAATAGACCTTACCCAAAAATTGGGGTTGCAGCCTAATGCTATCAGTCACCCACCATGTATGGG